CCCTCTGGAGCTCCTCTGAGTCATCCAGATCCACAAAGGCAGGCTCCAACTGGGGCTGATGAGGTAGTCCCCCTCGAGGGGTTGAGCGTGCTGGTGTGACATCTGTAGTGACACATTAGGTCCCTCTTCAAAGCATGGGCCAGACCCAGGGATTGGCCCTGAATCAAACTGGCTGGTGAGGGAGGTTAGCCCAGGGCTGCCACACCTCAGGACAGGGCCTGGATTGTATGTGACCTGATTTCCCTGTCTGGGCTGGAGCAAAACACTGACTCCAAGGAGCCGGCATTGCCACGCAGCCGCCCGTGGTGCCCCCTGTCTCTTCCCAGACATGCCACTCCTCCCTCCGGTGACAATCCCCTCCTCTGCCCTGCTCTCACATCCACCAGGCAGCCTGTCACCCGTAGGGAGGCGAAACGGACCAAGACCTCAGCAGCAGATGGAAAACCTCTCAGGAGGCCAACATGAAGGGGCACATGGGCTCACACAACAGAGGGATATTTTGGGGGTATCTCCAGGGATGGGAGCTATCCAACCGAGCAGGGTGGGCCCTCTGGGATCCCCATTTTCCTCCTTTACCACCTGCAACCGCGGTCTCCAAACAGTCAGTGAGTTGGCTCCCTCCAGAGATGGACCAGCATGTCCTCCCCTAGGGGACAAGCAAGGCTAACTCTACCTTGTGGGGGGCCCTGTATGTGGGATGACTCCAAGAGCCTTCTGATTCCTCCGCTGTTTGTGACCAGCCCCCCACCATTCCCTAGATGCCCAGGCTCCCCTCTGAGCCCAGACACCACTGCCTCCTTCACCAAGCTCCTGGGAGCTCCGCGCCAAACCAGCCACCAGAAGTGGGGCCCCTGCACCAGGCCCAGCCAGGAGAGGGGAGACCTTTCGCTGCAACTCCTATGGGGGGAGGGAAGGGCGGTGGGAGGGAGGAGAAGCTTCCTGAGATGACTAAAGCCAGCCCCATCCCAGCAGGACCCACCTAATTAGCCAAGCGAGCCCCATCCCCCAGCGCCATGTGGTATCGTGACTGTGGAGCCGCTGCACAAATGACATCCACCCCCAGCCGTTTCATCTCTAGTCGCGCTGACACCTGAAATGGAAGCGCCGAGGGAACCAAGGAGGAAAAAGCTGCTGGAAATCTCCCCGCACGATCAATTTGCTGGAGTGCCGGGCCTTTTGATAGTGAAGAGGGCTGAGCAGAACGGGGTTTCCATGGAAACGGCGAGGCTGCTGTTTAAAGGAGACTTGTCGTTCCAATGTATGAGGGTGGTGACAATGTGTCATTTCAGAGTGATGCCGGAGCGGGGAGAGGAGGCCGCCCACACTCACAGGCGGCGCGTGGGACCCGTCGGGTTCCTGGGCAATAGGACTGCAGGGGGGTTCCTCAGGGCCGTTTGCAGCAGTAACAATTAGGTCTCAGGTACTAAGTTCTGTGGTAATGCGGATGGTGGCAGCCTAGCAGCCTGGAGTCTGAGTCTCCTGAAAACCTCTTGGGTCGAGAGGTTACCCTCCATCTCTGGCTCCCATCTGCAGCCTGCGGTGGCCTCCTGTCTGCTAGTATTGAACGGAGAACCTCCCCTGATCACAGGGCTGCCGACTCTCTAATTGCTGAAAACCGACCACCTTTGCTCCACTCCCTGCCCCTCTTCTGCTGAGGCCCCCCGCCTTGCTCCCTCCTACTTCCCTCCCCCGTCGCTCACTCTCCACACCCCACCCTGCCCGCTCACTCCTCCCTCTCTTGGGACTCGCTGCCTGCAGAGCCAAGCTGCGAGGAGCTGACATGGTGCCTGTCTGCCTGTGCAAATGGGGCATACAGTAGGGGGTGGTCCTCAAACAAAGGGCCAGTGCAGGGAGGGGCAGGGCTGGGCAATCGGGGCAGAAAGGGGAGTGGTCTGGATCCCCGCTCCAGGCAACAGCACCTGCCTCTTGGAGCCCAGTCCAGAAGCCAGCCACCATTCTTGGCAGGCATCAGCAGCTGAGCTGAGATCAGCTTGTCCATGTGGCTGCAGCAGCTCTTCCTGCCCCCTAGTGGCAGAGGTCAGTTGCTATGGCGAGCAGGAATTTTAGCGACCGGTCTACTCAGCTATGCTGACCAGACACGGCCAGGTTCCCTTTTCAACCGGACGTTCCAGTAGAAAACCAGACACCTGGCAACCCTGCGAGACCACGTCACAGCTTTGAGAATGGCTGCACTAGGCCTCAGACAAGCACATGAGCGTGCATGTCTAGAGACAGTATTGTGAGAGCACTCAAAGGAAGGGCCAGAGGAGAATCTGTGGTGTGCTGATATACATTATCAGGTCTGAATGATCATTTTCAGCAGGCACTCGAGACTGTCTGTTGACAGGCATGGTCTCACAGCCCGAGCAGGAACTCCTGCCTTTTAAATCCAGCAGGATCCTTCACTTCCTAGCTTCAGTCCTCCAGAGGAACAAGGGGAATGATAACCCTGAGCTCACTGAGATGCTGCAAGGGTCACCGGGTTCATGTCTGTACATACAAAGCTCTCGCATTGTTACGATTCCACTTGACACTGCTGAGATCACTCTCTTCTCCAGGCTGGAGTTCTGGTTTTATGCCTCTCACTAGGACTTGGCTCCATTCCTACCCAGAACTCACACTGCTGCCTACAGATACGACTAGATCTCCTAGGCTGTGTCTACACTGGCCACATAACCCGTAATAGCTATGGAAATGAGAGAAGTCAGAATAGGGAAATGCGCGGGGGATTTAAAGTAGGAATAAGAGATCCTCCGGAATAGGGCTTTATTCCGGAGGATCGCGCCAGTCTGGACGCTCTTTTCCGGCTTTTCCCCAAGCCGGAAAAAAAGCGGCGGCCATTAAATCCCCCGCGCATTTCCCTATTCTGACGTCTCTCATTTCCATAGCTATTACGGGTTATGTGGCCAGTGTAGACACAGCCCTAGTGTATCACTGACAGGTGGAACTGAACCTTTGGAGTTTAGTGCATGAGCCTCTACTATTTGAGCTAAAAGCCAGCTGGCTCTCAGCTAATGCCATAGAACAGTGTTTTTCATCTCCAGGGGCTCTGCGAGGTTGACAAACTGGAAACATCAATAGGTACAACACATATAATCAGTGGACTGCTGGGGCACCGCATAAGTACCACACATACAATCAGTGGACCACTGGGGCTCCACATAAATTTTTACGCATGTAAAGGGCTCCAGAGCCCAAAAAGTTTGAGAACCGCTGTCATAGAATGATCTCTTTCTTTCTCGCTGTCAGTGGTGTAAGTGCCACTACATGGGATGGTGAACTAAGCTCAGTAGGTGTGTAGGTTACACTAGCTCTGTCTGTTCCACACTCAGCACTAGAAGGGTGGCTGCTTGGCTAAAGCAGAATTCCTTCAACTGAGACGCTAAGGCATCTGAAATTCACTCTTGGCAGCTGGTGCTATGTAGCAATGGAAGCTGGAACTAACTTTTCAAAACCAGTCGGGAGGTTATCCCTGGTTTCCTGACTTATAAAATAAGCCTTAGCATTTATACAAGTGTTACAAACCTTAATTTATCTTCCCAACACCCTCGTGAGATAGGGATGGATTATCCCCATTTTATAGGTGGGAAAATGGAGGCAGAAAGATACTGTGAGTTGGCCAAGGCCACAGGCAACTCAGCTGCACAGCAGGGAGTGGATTTCAAGTTTAGCCCTCCATACCACACTCTCTCTTGAAGTCTCCTTTGCCTTCAACAGAATGTAGGCATCCTGGCTCTGTGTGAACAAAACAGAAACTCACCAAAGTTGTTCTCACTTACTCTAATTGGCACTAGGGATCACTATAGAGCAATTCTCTACTTATAGTAACAGGGCCACAGATGCACAGTGGAGAAAATACATGGTTGAAAGAATTTGGACCTTGAAGGTAAAATTTGCTCATGGCAAAACATTCCTACAAAAGCTTGGAATAAAATCCTCAAAAAAGGCTTACTGGCATTCATTTAACTCTTGCTAAATCAGTTCAATGTAGAGAAAGAAAAAGTTAAGTTTCCTGG